TATATATATATATATATATATATATATATATATATATATATATATATATATATATATATATTAATAAAGCCAAAGTCGTTTGAAACCTTACATATGAGGAAGATATCGTTACCGAGCACCTTCCTTGAGGTCCCTGTCTACAAGTTCGTCTCTTCACTTATCTTTGTGGTTATGGCTTCTGTATTTGTTCTTTACGTTCTTCAAGTTATTGTGTTGGGATGAGATCATATTCTGACCACTTTTCTTTAAATTTTTATGATATTGTTAGGTTGTCTTGGTTCATGGGTTTCTCTTATGGGCCTTTTACTTTCCATATGAGGAGTTTTGAGCCGTAAGAAAGGTTAAAACTATTGATTTATCCTACCTAAAGAAAGAAATTCTAACAAGTCCAATCCTGGTTGTTCGCCCATTAATAAATGGACCATTGTTACGGAGACAGAAGACAAGCGTAAAAATCTTTTTTCAGAACCCAAAAAGAGAAGTCGGGCACTTGGAAAGCCATGCAAACCCTGAAAAAAGGAATCTGATTTCCATCTTTGAGCTATAAGGTTATGATTGTCTCCCCAACATGATATTATATTATTTCTTTTATTTATTTAAAAATTATAATGAAGTTACAGTCCTCTTTTACAAGGATAGAGTTATTTATAATAGGGGTAATGAAATGTTTACACTTTATAACTCATAGTCTCATGGGCTATTTGTATCTCTAAAGAATAACGTTTTAAGTTTTAAAAAACAAAGAACGGTATTTATGTTTTTTGGTAATATGCAAATTTACCCTTTTTTACCTGACTAACTTTATAAAGGACATTCTCGTAATTGACAAGGTAGTGTGGTATATAAACACCTCTCTACTTCCTCCAAAAACACGCGCCGCAGACCGTAGAGGAGCGTGAGACAAATTCCACGTGCCGGAGAGTTTAAGCCACCACCGTCTGACACTTTTGGTCTATATATACTCCACCACTTCTCTCCCACCACCACAGCCTTCATCGATCTAAATTTCACAAACAGAAGAAGAAAAATGGGATCTGAACTGATTTACAGGGGCCACGAACCCCAACCCACTTCAGATCTATACTCTCCAAAGCCTAACAAACCATGGTCCGCCGTGATTCCGCCGATTCGTTACATGCTTCGTGAACAACGTCTCGTCTTCGTGCTCATCGGCATTGCCATATCTACCTTCTTCTTCACCCTTATTCCGTCATCCACCACCTTCTCTTCCCCCGCCATCCCCGCCTACACCTCCTACGCAGTTTCCGGATCGGCTCAGTTAATGAACCCTGGACGACCAGCTTATCGGTTTAATTCAGGTGGGAAGATCCCTTTGGGTTTGAAACGGAAAGGGTTAAGGATTGTGGTGACCGGCGGTGCAGGATTCGTCGGAAGTCATCTCGTTGACCGATTGATTGAACGAGGAGACAGTGTAATAGTCGTTGATAATTTCTTCACTGGAAATAAAGAGAACGTGATGCATCATTTTGGAAACCCTAGGTTTGAGCTCATCCGACACGACGTCGTAGAGCCGTTACTACTGGAAGTCGACCAGATCTATCACCTTGCTTGCCCTGCTTCCCCTGTTCATTACAAATACAACCCCGTGAAAACAATCATATCCTTCCTTAATTAGTTTTATTCGCTCTGTTTTTATAATTGATTTTGAGTATACAAATCCATATTTTGTATTTGTGAATCCTTGATTTTGATTTTGGTTGTCACAAGACGAATGTAGTGGGGACATTGAATATGCTTGGACTGGCGAAGAGAGTCGGTGCACGGTTCTTGCTAACGAGCACCAGTGAGGTGTACGGCGATCCTCTGCAACACCCTCAAGTGGAAACCTACTGGGGCAACGTCAATCCAATCGGTGAGTTTTTCTCTCTGTTTTCCCGGAGGAATTCGTGGATTACTTCATCAATGTTGGTTGAAGTTGTTGCGTGTGTCTTGTGAATTTTTATGGAGATTGAAGGAGGAAATCTGGACGAAAGTGGATTACTATTATATATATTAGGCGAAAATGGACTACGATCTAACCATGTGTGTAACAATCACTAACAGGTGTCAGAAGCTGCTATGATGAGGGAAAGCGTACTGCCGAAACACTGACCATGGATTATCACAGAGGTGCTGGCGTCGAGGTTTGTTTTTTTTTTTATCTGTATCATTCATGATTCATTTCTTTTCGTCAAAGAATTCTATCTATATCAGTATATTATGCATTTACATACATATAGGTTAGGATTGCCAGAATATTCAACACATATGGTCCTCGAATGTGCATTGACGATGGCCGAGTTGTCAGTAACTTCGTTGCTCAGGTGAGTTATCATTTATAAATCATACTGTATATCGGACTTGATTTGATTTATATAAATAATAACACGTGAAGTGACGTGATGCAGGCGCTTAGGAAAGAACCGATGACTGTTTATGGAGATGGAAAGCAAACAAGAAGTTTTCAATTCGTTTCCGATTTGGTTAGTTAGTAGTATCTTTTCGTCCTTTATGAAATTATTACATAAAAAGCTTGATCACCACTAATCACAGATTAACGTAAAATTACCTTTTCCCCTTCTGTCGGTAGTGATGGCAAAACTAGACCCCCTACCAATTAAAAGACAATAAGTAGTAAAAAAAAAATCACCTTTTGTAATTTGTACGTACGCTTTGAAGTGTCTGCAAGGTGGCATGTGGGTTGTTGTCCAACTCCAAGGTGTGGTGGCCTTGTGCCTCGTGCCATTGCCATGGAGTGATACATATGAATTATTGTACTTGCAGATCCAGTTAGTGTCGGATATCTTTTCTTTAATTCTGGGTATTGTGTGACCACCCGCCCCTCTTTAGTCTTTATACATATTGACGAATTAATTTATTGTTTTTAGGTGGAGGGTCTAATGCGTTTGATGGAAGGTGAACACGTAGGCCCGTTTAATCTTGGAAATCCCGGTGAATTCACCATGCTTGAACTTGCTCAGGTACAATTAATTACGTGTACAAAAATGAATTCATTATTCTATTAGATATGTTTTGTTTAAATATGGGATGACATGGCATGACAGGTGGTCCAGGAGACGATCGACCCTGATGCAAAAATAGAGTTCAGGCCAAACACGGAGGACGACCCACACAAGAGGAAGCCAGACATCACGAAGGCAAAAGATCTTTTGGGATGGGAGCCCAAAGTGGCACTTCGGAAAGGGTTGCCGATGATGGTGTCGGATTTTAGGCAGCGGATATTTGGTGACCATAATAAGGACCAGGCTGCTACTGCTTAAGGATTAAGTAAGGTATAGACAGAGAGAGAAAGAGATAAACTTTAATTGGTTCGCTCACAACAGTAGGATAGGTGAGGAACGAGCTCTCGTGAGTGCCCAATATTTGTATTCTTCAGATTTAAGTGTATTTTATGTTTATGGTTTTTCCATTTACTAATATTTTATGTAGACAACAGGGACAGCTTCGACGTTGTATCACCTTCATTTATATATTTTCATACATAAAAATGTATTGTTTAGAATTTAACTTTGGTATGAAATCTGTTATTGTGTTTTCTTAATAAATATAAATATTAACAGGTTTAAATTATTATATAAGAATTAATTATAGGGAAATTAACTAAACTAACCGATACAAAAAAAGTTTATATTGACAAAACTAACCATTTTTTTTAATTTTTTGCAAAATTACCAACTTGTACGGAACAAGGCATTCTGGAGTTTAGTCCGGAATGTTGGGTAGTCATTCTGGAATGTCTTTATATTTTTATGTTTTTTTTTTTTTTTTGGTAATATCAATTAATGGTCATTTCTATTATTGATCATTTATGTATAATTTTAATGTTTATGTGTTCCATAATTTATGATTATAAAATAAACCAACTTATATTTTCCACATTAAACTAAAATCTACTAAAAAAATAAATATTCACAATCTTTCATATATGTTTGTTTTGGTCAAAAACTAACAACCTTATTTCGTAACCAAAGTAAAAAGTATGGTGATGTTAATTTTATGATGTTGAAAATTAGAATGCTAAAGATCTTAAAATACGCCAAAGATCTTGGTAGTGTCCAAGATCCTGGGAAAAGATAATGGTATTCATAAAACTATCGAATAGAATTTATTTGTTTTGAATTGTAAACAAGCATATTTCAAGTAATTGGGACGAAAATAATGTTTAGATAATTTTCAAATGAGTTATACGTGAAAAAAGTTTATTAAGTACTCAAAAAGATATTAAGATACCACAAGATATCATGATATTTCAATGTGTAGATATAGTGACAATCAAATAAGTGTGCAAAAAGAGTTATGATCGGTTAAACAATTATAAATAAGTAAAATCACGATAAGAACACTACGATATACGAGGAAATCCCTTAATCTTTTTGAATCTTCGACATAAAACATCGGGAGGTGATAAACTCACATGTCTTAAAACTTATATTAAATCAATCAAAATAGTTATAAGTGCTAGTTGATCTTAGAGATAAAGTATTTGTGCTCAAGTGTCGAAAGAATCAGAGAAAGATGAGAAGTGTGTATGTTCGTGTGCATGCGATCAACTAATCTTTTATACATAACGATAATAACTAAAATTTCGAGAATCTTGGGATTCTCTTTGATCTCCGTTTGACCCGACTTTCTAGATGGTCTTCAACGTTCCTTTGGTATTGACTTTTGTTCTTTTTCGTTAGATATTAAGTCCCTGCATAATATTTCACAAGAGAAACTATGACAATCTAAGATACTGATTCAAGATTTTGGGCTTGCCCAGGATGTTAGTTCTAATTTAAGATATAAGAATAGTAAGTTGAAAATTCCACACATAACAATGTTCAAATAATAATAAAGTGTGCAAATGGAACTTTACTTTTGATGTGTACTCCATTTTATTAGTGTGAATTACCTTCGATATGAGTTCAACAACCCTCAATGCTCATTGATTGACCAATAATTAATCTCTATAGGAACCAAAATAAGAAAACTTCACAATCTCCTTTATTGTCTAACTGTTGTGGTACGTCTGCGACCTTCATAGGAGTGGTGTGAAACTCTCGTGGGGATTACATCGAAGGATTTGGAACCTAAGTACTTGATAGCCACCAGAAGTTTGTGGATATGAGGTGTAACATCCATCTCTCAAGTATTCCTTTCATGAGTTAATTACAACATTCTATGGATTTTTACCGTGGCCTATTGAGGAAGTGTGCATATGTGCGATGCCACGGCGTGGCGGCCACTTTGGGCCAAACCCTAATTTTCGGGATTGGTGCTCTATTCTATTTAAGGGCACTAACTTCTAGGATTGCCTCATTTGGCAGCCTCCATTCTCTGAGAACGAACCCTCACCCAAACCCTAGTCTTTTGTGTGTGAAGTCACTTTGTGAAGGTTGAAGGAATAATGGGCTCATCTTGGTGGTTGCATACTTGATTCTAGCTTGGATCTTGCATCTTAACTTCATTTCTAATCTTCTGGAAGTATAAAGTCTTCACCTTTTTTTATCATATCATGCTAGATCTAGGTTTCTACCCACTTTTCTCTATGTTGGGTTGAGTTGAGTGCTTGAATTTCCATAAACTTGGCAACTTTATGGATTATTGAGGTCCCTTGGTGGACATATGTTCCGGATCTGAAGTTTGTTGGTGTAATGAGCTCCATGCATAGGATCTTAATGTTAATTCTCCGTTTTGACCTAGTTTGAGTGCTAGACTTGCATTGGACATGCATGTTTGAAAAGCATCGATTTTTATGTTGTGTTAGACCTTAGGAAGTTTTCTAAAAAGTTGGAATGAAGTGGATTAACGGATTGAGAACATAATCTATTAGGTCGTGACAGCCCGGTTTCCACGACATGGCGGTCTGCTCACCACAATGTGGCGACTGGGGTTTGCTTGACTATTTTGTCGGGAAGCAGCCACGACGTGGCTAAGGATGGCCACGACGTGACGACCATCTAGAATTGACTTTGACTTTGACCGTTGACTTTTGACTTGGTTGACTTTTGGTCAATTGGCTAGTTTTAAAAGGTATACATGATGTTTACTTTGTATGCTTTAATATGAGGTGTGTAGCATCCGTTCATTAACTGTGAGAGTTGTTAGATGTTGACTACGTCTGCGAGGTGAGTCTTCTCACTATACTATGTAGAATTGTAACACTCATAAAATTAATGAAAATTTAAACTTTTTCAACCAACCAAAAATCATAATTGTTTACATTGTATTTTTCAAAACGAGTTTAAACATCATAGTAATCCCAAAATCATGAAACAAAACATGAGGATGTGCACGATCACGCTTTCGTTTTCCCGCGATCTTCTAAGGTACCTGAAACATAATCCAAAACTGTAAGTCCAAAGCTTAGTGAGTTCCCTCAAAATACCAATACATAGCAAACAACACAAATATAATAACAGCATTCAATGGATCCACAGCTAACAGACTGGATTACCCCTGAGCCCACACCATAAGGTTGGATTGCCCCCTGGGCCTACAGCTTATGTCTGGCTTGCTCCCCGGCCCTCAGTACGAGTCTGGCATGCCCTACCCGGCCCTCAACTCATATCTGGAATGCTCATGAGCCCTCAGTATGAGTCTGGCATTCCCTTCCTGGCCCTCAGCTCATATGTGGTATGCTCCAGGATTTGTTGGCTACAACACAGAGCATTACAACCTCAACCCAACCCGCACCATATGTCGACATATAACAGATAATATCATATTAAGATAACAAGCAATATCACAGGTAGTCCTACAGATCTACCAAACTAGCATGCATACTACTACATACTCAACGTACACAATATCAAGTTATCAAACCAATGGGTCGACCTTGGTGCCTTCGACCCGAAAGCATAGTAAGGAAGACTCACCTCACAAGCTGGACAGAACTAATAAGGTCCGACTCTGAATCTCAGCTCTCTACTCAAAACCTACATCCACCAAGTGACCATTCCATCAAAACCCCAAATATACCCAAAATACCCTTAAAAGTCAAACTTGGTCAACCATGGTCATCGAAGTCAACGGTCACGGTCAACAGTCCATGTTGACCCAACACGACGTGTGTACTAACAAACATGCCGTGTTTCGATGGTAAACAGATGGTCAGGAAAACCCCAGCTAACATACCGTGCTGGCAGGAAAACACGTCGTGTTTGCCCCAGCTTAATACATCCAGCTGTTCCTTCGATTCTAGGGACTCCAAGACTCATATCTAAACTCAAATGCTATCAAAAAGGATAAAGTTTCCAACTTTATCCTTTAGGGCTACTCCAAGTGTTCAAAAACCCATCCACAAGGCTTGAAGATTCAAGGGCTTAACCAATGAGCACAAAATCCTTGAGATCTGAAACCCAACATTTCCAGAAGAGATTTCAGCCTCAAAATCATCCCAAAGGTTGGTGCTTTATAGACATGCATGTCCAATGCATGTCTTGAACCCAAAATGAGTCAAAAAGGGAAAATATGACCTAAACTCCATGCATGGCATCAAAACTTGGCTAATGGCCAGATCCAAGCCACTACAAGGTCACCTTGACCTGGAGATTCATAAAGTTGCAAACTTTATGAGATCCATCCATTGCAACATCCAAGAATAAGGAGAAAAAGGGACAAAACTCAATATCTAGCTACATGGAAGAATAAAAATCGGATCTTGGACACTTACAAAGGTCTAGAAGAGTGCCAAACTGAAGATGAGAGATTTTCTTGCTAGATCCTGACTTCCTTTTTCCAACTTTCTTCTTCTTTTGCTCCAAAAATACCACACTAGCTCACAAATGAGAGGGAAGGATGGCTAGGGTTCACAAGGGCCGATATGGGGGTTTGGAGACTGATAAAAGATCAGCCCTATGGACTTAAGGAGATTAAATAGGGTGCAAAACCCTATAATTTAGGGTTTCTCATCCAGCCGCCAACACATCGTGTTTCCCTCACCAACACGCCGTGTTGTTCCATAAAAATGTGCGACCCAAAAGTCCTTCAACACGCCATGGTGAGGCTTCCACCACGTCGTGTTCCAATGGAAAAACATGCTTAAGGAATAAATCTCATACCTGGGAATCGGGATGTTATAAGGATGCTAGTTGTCTTTGTGATACGTGCATGAAAACCATGGGGGTAGCCCATGACAACTATATGGAAGACCCTGGGGGTATCCCATGTCACTTGGATATAAGACCTTAGGGGTAGCCCATGACATTTTAAGTAAAGACCATGGAGGTAGCCTATGTCACTTGGATATAAGATCATGGGAGTAGTCCATGACATTTCAAGTAAGGACCATGGGGGTGCTCATGGCACTTGGATATAAGACCTTGGGGGTAGCCCATGGCATTTCAAGTAAGGATCATGGGGGTAGCTCATGGCACTTGGATGTAAGACCATGGGGGTAGTTCATGTTGAATGGATGTATGGTATATGGTATTTTGAGGAATTCACTAAGCTTTGTGTTTACGGTTTATGTTTTAAATGTTTTCAGGTACTTCTAATTCTAAAG